GCAAAACTGCACACAATCGAAACCTCCCGCGATTCGTCTTGTCGAATTGTTTGTGTGTGGCTCTCCTGGACTGAAGCAGTGAGCACACTGTGGCGTCGCGCATGCGTCTGTTTCCTGACACAATCATCCATTTTGAATGCGTGTGTATTGGGATAGACGCGTGCTGACGCTTATGTATGGGCACACCTTAAGTTCAGAGGAGCCAATCAGCGCGTCGTTATCGCCGACATGCCCTGCTCAGCCAGGGTCTCCAGTTAGTCAAACATTATACAACACACAGTCGCGCTGCTGCGGTCCTCTGCAATACATCTGTTAGTGCACGCAAACAATACAACAGATAATTTTAACAAGCGATCGCGGTAATGCGCAGATTATAGTCCACAAATATAAAATGTATAACGTAAAAATCACTTTATAAATTATTATTTTATACAATTTGCTGAAGGTCCGGACAGAGGAGGTCCGGACAGAGGAGGTCGGCGGTCCGGTTGTGGATCGCGGTCCGCCAGTTGAGGAAGGCTGCTATAGTGCTTTATTTTTCCTCCTCCTGAGTTAATGTTCCTGAACTGAATTTGAATTTATGATTATTTATTGATGTATTTTATTTTAGTTTTCAGAATGGTGCAATGAGTTGGTCAAAAAGTTGGTAAAAAATGTTCAAACAAGGTATAAACAAGGATTTTAGGGGAGGTGGTATTTCAGGCAAATTGATGCATTTAAAATATTAGCTATTTTCTTCTTGTTGTGGGTGGGCATAACAGAAAATAACTGAGAAGCACCGGTTTAATGGAAGCTCAATGCACTTTTACGCCAGGCCGTGTTCAGAAGAAAGTCAAGTGCTCGATTTGCTGCCTGAGAAGTCCCACACAACACATGCTATGTTTGTTGTGAGCGATGCTAAACAAGCTCAGAGACCAAGTACTACTCCTTCATTGGTTTTTCCTATTCATTCTTGGATTTTTAAAGTTTTATTTTTGAATCTGATTTGTTTTTTTGGGTCATCTGTCTTCTTGGCTGACATGACTAATTTATTATATTTATTCTACAAATATATTGCTAATGCTATATTTTATATTGCACTTATATTGAACTGTGTACAGTTCTTTTCTGAAACATTTATTTTGCGCAATGAAACACTGCTTCCCCCCCCCCACAATTTTGCTGCTGTAGACTGCAAATTTCCCCAGTGTGGTACAAATAAAGGTTATCTTATCTTGTCTTATGACACCTTCATTCCCAATCTGGGGCATAATTGACTGAGCCAATAGTTATTTTGCATCCCTAGAAAATATTTTAAAAAACATAAAATAAATTGGACATTATGTACAAACCCATTCCAGCCTTTCCATCAGGATAAGTATAGACCTGGCCATTGTTCTTGATGATGGGAAGACTGGCAGGCAGAGAGGAGACCACCTCATCCTCGCTGTCCTCTGAGCTGGAGCTGCTGGTTGACTCCTCACTACAACTGTCATAGCCATCAAACATCCCAAACGAATCTCTCCGCTTCCGTTCTGAACGCGGGGTGCGCTCAGCCTTCAATCAAAAAACAAACCAAAACAAACAAACTTCAGTTATCAAAATCAAGGAAGAAAAAGCAGCAATACACAGAAACTAATAATAACAAATTGACCAAAAGTACAGCAAAACGCACAGCTGATGGGCAGCCATGACTTCCGAAGATGAAGCTATTTTGACAAGAGAACTTCCTCCCCAAGCAATACCTCCGGAGTGACGTGGCGTAAGAAGCCGTTGTGCATGGTATGTCATCAAAAACAAGGCAATACGAGAAACCTGTTGACTCATTTGAACAAGTAGCACCCAAGCAATCAAGTTGCAAGCATGAAAATGTGAGCAGTTTGCACAGCCTGCGCACGTAAACATTAGCAGTTTAGTCGCTAATAACCAGCCGGTAGCCACCAGATGAAAGCAGCAATCAAATGTGCCATCGTTGGATCAGTCACATTTGCAAGTAGCAATGATGTAGGATGTATGTAGGATTATAACTTCAATATTATTATGTTTACACGATACGATAAACATAATAATAATAAAAAAAAAAAAAAAAAAGTAAAGCATTTCAGGAAACGGTCGTTTATTCGACTGTCCGTCGAGTCACAAGCAATTTACCCTGCGCAGCATCGGATGCATGCCACTATCTTTCACGGATCTAGTTACAGTATCTACACACATAGATATTGAGGTCCCTCTTGGCCAATGAAAGGCCAGGATGATGCTGAGTAAGCCAATGGCAGAGCAGCTATGAGTATGTTGCCTTCATGAAACTCTGAGCTGTGAACAAAATAAAAATCGTTCACTATTCCAGTAAAACTCATGCTAATAGAGTCACTGACATGTCGCCGTTTTGTATCCAATGAGAGTAAATAGCGGCCCAGACAGTTATTCCGTAGTATTGAGCGGGAATTGCTTGTATTTGCGCCACTGTGTGCTTCTGTATGGCTTCCGGGTTCCGGGTAGTGGAAATTCCATTGTTATGAATTGATCGTTAACGTAACATTGGAGTCAAAATTTTAATAGTTTTTTAGTCCGAGTGAGGGAATTTCCGTTTGAAAGAACTCCATAGATAGGAATATTTACTGTATATAGTGTTTCAAAAACGTACGATTTTTTTTTTTTTCCTGTTGTTGTCCCATGTCTTAAAATTGTATAGCCGAATTTTAAAGACAATCTGATGAATCCTCTAGGGCAGGGGTCGGGAACCTATGGCTTGCGAGCCAGATGTGGCTCTTTTGATGATTGCATCAGGCTCGCAGATCAAACAAAATATTCTCGCTTTTTTAATCCATCGATTTTTTTACTGCTCATTTCCTGTTCAGGACTGCAGTTGCCTCCAGGAGCAAATTTGATTGGATAATACTACAATACTGGCCTACGGTGGCCGTTGCTGCGGAAAGAGGTAAACGCCCCCTTTTGAATCAGCCCGCTCGGTCATTAGCTCAAAGCTAATCCTTCGACGAATAAAATGGCAAAAAGAAAAAAAGATGAGTATGTGACACTTCAGGACGAATGGCCTGAAGGATTCGCCTTTGTGGAGAGAACAGGTTCTGCGGTGTGTCTAATTTGCAATGACAAAATACCATCGATGAAACGGTCGAATGTAAATCGGCACTTTGACACGCGCCATACTACGTTCGCATCAAAATACCCTGCGGGAAACAGCGGAAAGGAAGCGTGCAAGCTACTGAGCAGGGTTCAAGCTAGCCAGCAGCAACTCCGCGTATGGACCCAGCAAGCTGACTACAATTCTGCTCGTTTTGCTGGATTTTTAGCAATCGTGAGGAACGGAAAACCATTCACATTAATGGTGAGTGTTATAACATTACTTAAAAGTATACATTTGGAGGCTTCTTATACTGACATTTTGTTGTAATAATAATAATAATAATACCAATAATAATAATAATAATAATGATAATAATAACAGGAAGAAGAAGATGAAGAACATGAATTCCTAAAACAGAAAAAAAAACAGCGACCTTGCAACGGTCGCTCCTCGGGTCATAATAATTTCTATAAAAATTATATGGACCACGCAGTAGTCGATGCTCGGAACCTAATAAAAAGTTACAGAGTGATATTTGAACCCGTGACGCGATGGAATAACGCATCAACTTCGGGGCAACCGCTGAACTACTACACCGAGAGTTGGCATCCTTCCAGTGCCGTAAAATTTCTAGTTGTCCTACTCTTGCGAATCGCGGCAAAATAACCCTTAGTGGTTAGAGTTACCGGTCACGTCAAAATAACCATTTCGTAAGTACCGATTCCCGTTTTACTAAAATCGTAAATGCTTAGAACTCAACTCTTCGGCGTACCTGAACAGTGTTTACATTAAACATCGTCGCTTCCTGCTTTTTGCAATACAGGTGACCCCAGTGATTAAATTATTCAACTATTTTGTTAAGTTTGGAAAAAAATACTATGCCATGTCTGATAAGCAACTGTTATCACAACGTTCAGAAGAACAAAAATAAATTAACAATTGCAAAATAAACGCCAAAACAAAATCAGCTCAACGCTAAGTAGCATTAGCATAGCTTGCTAGCGGAAAGCTTTTGAAATAATTGTTACCCTCATTTTCATGAAACAAAAACACCGTCATCAAAGTTTCAGGGTTGTGCAGTTATTTTTTTCCATCTCTAGAAATGTTCGACAACTTTGAGATGATATATAGAAGAGCCAAAGATACTCGCTAGGTCTAGTAAATAAGACAACAACAAAGGATCCTTGAAAGTAACCCAACGTATATGTTAGTAGGCTCGCGGCCCGAAATGCTCATTGCACTTACCAAATCCCGTGTGTCTTCCATTAGTCCCTCATACAGATGACCTTCTCTTGACAAGCGCATCCACACTCAAACGAAACCAATGGTGCTTACTAATTTTGGATTCGAAAGAGCAAAGGCTCTGCGAATACTACAAACCAAACAGGATATCAACAAATTACGCAGGCTTCTGCGCATGCGTAACTGTAACCTACTTTCGTGTGATTGGTCAAGTGAAAATGCTGGCAAACACTGATAAATGTGTCAGTTCAACGAACTATTTTATTCAAAAGAAAACCAACAAAGATAATTTAATACAGTACCGAAATAATATTATATATAGATGTTGTTAAGAAATTATAAATACGCCTCAATTGCACCTACCCGAGTCACTTAAAAGGTGCACAATCAATGCATTTATTCCGTTTTAAAGTTACACGCACATCAGTACTATACACACACGCGCACACACGTACATAGATAGATAGATCGACAGACAGACACACACACACACACACACACTTATACGCGCACACGCGCACACACACACACATATACACACAAGCACACACACACACGCGCGCGCGCACACACGCGCACACACACACACGCGCACACACACGCGCACACACACGCACACACACACACACACACACACACACGCACGCACACACACACGCACACACACACACGCACACACACACGCGCACACACACACACACACAAACATTCTCTTCACTGATGAATGTTACTTTCCGTGTAGGTTAACAAAAATATGATTCATTGCAGAGAAGAAAAAATAAAATAAAACTAGTGCTGCAAGCATTTATGAAGGGCCCTTGCAGCTGTGGCAACTTTGGGGTAGTGTCATGTTGGAATACTGGCACATTTTAATTGGATTTTTTTGAAAATGAATTGAGATGTCCTTTATTTGTCCCACACTGGGGAAATTTACAGTCTACAGCAGCAAAATTGAGGGGTAGAAATATGAAAAAACAAAGTGTTTGCATGCACAAAAATAAATGTTTTCAGAAGAGAGCTGTACACAGTTCAATATAAGTGCAATATAAATATAGATATAGATATATATTAGCATATATGCAACTGGTATAAGGTGGCTGCGCTATGACAATTGTTACTGGTTTTTCACGTATTTTATTTATTTTATTTTTACACCAGATTAAAGGCTACTTTGATAAGGCCAAAAATGAGGCAACATTTTTAAAGGAAATTAAAAATGGCCAACTTCCTTTTAATTTTGGAGTAGGGCTCCAGAAACTTTTTGCTGGTCTTGGGCTGTTACAAATCCCTCCGACTTTCGAGAGATCTTGGTGAAACATTCAAGCAGGGCTGTTTTGTTAAAAATTCGTCAAGGGTTCAACTAAGGTTTTTACTTTAATTCTAAGACCATCAATATCTGCATAATTTTTCTCATCAAACAACAAGGCAGCAGTGTTGGATGGAATAAAAACCTTTACTTTGATTTTATATCATGAACATCTTTAGATGAAGGACCTACTGTTTCAAGACAAACTGCTCAAATCTCGAGAAGAAGTTATTTAAAATCTGAGTTCTTTAAAAAGCCAAAAAGTGGGGCCAAAAAAATTCAAAATCATTGATTTGTTTTCACATCATGAAGGCCAAAACAGTCTTACCAGCAAATATGAGGTTATTCTGGTTAACCTGCTGGGAGAAAAACATTAAAAAAAAATAATTAAAACATGTATTTCCTTTATCCTGTAGGTGGCGCTACGTCTATGATGAAAAATAATGTTTGCTGAGGTCTTCAGCGCTACACTCATCAAATATGTGAAATTTTAACAAACTATGATCATGTGGGTCAAGTTACAACAGCTTCTATAGTCAACAGGATGCTGCTTTTTAATTCAAAATAGCGGACTTATTCTAAAGTTTAGCACATGGCTCCAACAGACATTTTCGTCGATCTTGGGTGATTACATTCATCCATCCTTCCATTTTCAACGCTCCTTATCCTGAACAGGGTCGCAGGGGTTGCTGTAGCCTAGCCCAGCTGACTTCAGGCGGAAGGCAGACGACACCCCGAACCGGTCGCAAGTCAACCGTAGAGCACATATAGAGACACCCGGCCATTCACACCATCACCGAATGGAAACCAATCCCACGCAAGCCTACATAAATCAGGTGAGTGTAACTACATACAGTATATTGTACCACCAAATTTTCATCTATCTTGGTGAAACATAAAACTGCGGCTGCTTTGTTCAAAATAATAAATAGTTTGGGGCACTTATGAACCATTTTTTAAAGTTACACAATAAACTAATAAAATATTGATGATTTTTAAAGGCTTGATGTTTGTGCAAATTTTCAGGAGTTTTCCTGCATGCTTAGATTCTCAAAATAAGTGCTGTTTTCTTGGCGAACAGTGTGCGACGACAGCAACAGCTTTTCATTAAAAATCCCAAACTTTGTGATTCATATGTTTCACAAACCATTATTATCAGCGTGATTTTCTTGGCAAATAGCCTCATTGTAGCAGTGTTCAAGGAAAATATAAGATTAGCATTTTCCTTATCGTCTGGAACATCTCAATACAGTATAAGACAATCGGACAAAATCTGAAGGGGTTCTTTAAAATGTGACCTCAAGCTGTGAAAGGTCAAAAATTGGGCCAAATTTGAAATAAATATCGAAATGGAAGACTTCCTGATAGCTTTGACATATGCATAGACAAAATTTCTTATATTTTCACAACTGCTCAAATCAGCATCATTTTTCTTGGCAAACAGTACATCTCCACGGCAACAACGTTGACAATTTCAAGACAAAGGGATAAAGTCTCTTGGAGGAGTTTTTAAAATGTGACCTTTTCAAATGGCCAAAAATAGGTCCACATGTGAAAGAAAATTCAAAATACAGTCGTAGACTTCCTGTTAGCTTTAATAATAATAATAATAATAATAATACATTTTAGCATTTGGCTCCAGGAGACCTTTTTTCGGTATTGGGTTGTTACATGTGCCTCCAACTGTGGTAGCGCTGGGCGAAATGTTCCACGGAAGCTGTGTGGTTAAACATTTGTGTTTGTTTTTTTTTGTGGGGGGGGGGGGTTCAAAATAACTCATAAAATAATGGTTATTTGACCAAGTGTGACGTGTGTGACAAGGTTAATCTAATCTGTTTTCACGAATATTCAAACCATCAAAATAAGCCTTGTTTACTCTTTGCAAACACCTGATCGCCACAGCAACATCTTGAGCAAAATAAAAAGCTTTGCTTTTTTGGGTCGTCTTGAACATCTTAGAATGAACTACCCACACAGTTTCAGGACATCAGATAAAGTCTATAGGGTGAGTTTTTTTTTTTTTTTTTTTTTAAATATAACCACTCTGGAAGGGCAAATATGGGTCCAAATGTTTAAAGAAAAATCTAAATTGCGGATTCACTATTAGCTTTAGCATATGGCTCCAAGAGACATTTTTGGACGTCTTGGGTTGTAACTTGTTACATATACCTCCAGAATTTTGTTGATCTTGGTGACACGTCCAACCAGTGCTGCCTCACCCCCCAAAATCAAGGGGGCATTGTTGAACCATTTTTTAAACCTTGGAGAATAATCCATCTATCCAGCTATTAGCTGAACCGCTGATGTTCATGGGGGAGCTAACTAGCTGTCTTTGGGCAATCGGCAGGGTCCACCCTGAACAAAAAACTCTGAACTTATTTCAACTAATAAGACAAGATGAACATCAAAGCACTACCCATCACGTTTTCCTCTAATTTAAAAACCTCAGCTAAACCATCAGTGCCTCCAGCAGAAAAATCTCGAGTGAAGCAAAAGCCTACAAGTCAAACGAGGGCCGCCTTCTACGCCACCAACACAAGCCTCTTTGCCTCACTGAATGAGGGAATTTTGAGTAAACACGTGTACTGTTGTGATCTTTGTCTAATTACGTAAAGCATAAATACTGTGTACATATTTTGAACATGCTGGTACCAATGATATTTCTTGCTTACAATAACATCTGACAAACAACGTAACTGGTCTGTTGTCAAATGCCTGTAGTCTCAGACCTTCACCAGCAGAGGGTGCTAACATACCGTGGAGCAGTCGTGTAACCCCGGCTCACATTTAAGTGCATGCAAACATTACATACCGCATTACATTGAGTGTGCACCTCAAAATTTTCGACTGGTGCCCCTCAAATTTCCTGCTTAAAAGGGGGACTGTGCTCCTAGTTTAAAAAAAAAACTGTCTGGAGCCCTGTGTTATCTACTCAACCCAGCAATAAATGACACCATTTAGTCTGCACCATTTATTTTGCAGTATAAATTGGACCATGTCATCAGCACATCAAATGGAATGTTACCAAGACAAATGCACCCTGAAAGTACAGTCTGAAACAACTATTTCTATTGAAGGTAGAATGGATAAGGGGTATTTGAGGACAGTGCTCAGTAGATCCAGCTGGAGGCACAGCTTGTGTAGGAAGTCAGCTCTTCTTGCTTGAACCACAGGGCAATTTCCTTTGTAGCACTCTCAACTGAGTCACTTCCATGGATGATGTTTCTGTTAACCACAAAAAAATAATGTAAATAAGACCACGAGATCCAGAGACTATACCCACGATGCGGGTAAATAACACTTACTTGCTAACATCAATGCAGAAGTCTCCTCTAATTGTTCCAGGTTTTGAGTCTGCTGGGTTGGTTTCACCAAGCATCACCCTGCCGGTCTTAACAACCCCTTTGCCTTCCCACACCTAATGTTCAAAAATAAATAAACAATTTTGACCATCAAAGTAAAGAATTCGTGGCTCTTTATTACGGGTCTCACCATGGCAACCACCGGACCACTGCTCATGAAATTGACGAGGTGCGGGAAAAATGGACGTTCTTTCAGGTCACTGTAGTGCTCCATCAGCAGGTCCTCCGAAGCCTGAAAGCATGAATGGGTACAGCCAGTGCGCTGAGGAAGTATTCTGACCATTTAAATTTTCTCTTGAACCACACCATTGATTTTCAAAATGTGGGATGGGTACTGGTACGTGGGCTCCCTCTGGTGGTACATTGAAGAATCACTGGCTACGTGCAGTTAAGTTGTAAATAAGTTTGAGGTTAAATGCATTTGCATTTAATCTTTAAAAAGTCCATCCATCCATCCATTATCTGAACCGCTTTATCCTCGAGGGTTTGCCGGCATGCTGGAGCTTATCCCAGCTGTCTGTGGGCAGTCGGCAGAACTGTTTGCCAGCCAATCGCAGTGCACACATACACAAACAACAACTCACAAGAACAATAAGCGCGTAGGGACAATTTAGAGTGATTAATTAACATATCGGTCATTTTTCTGGAATGCGGGAGGAAACCCAAGCATACACGGGGGCCGGATTTGAACTCGGGCTGTGAGATGGACGTGCTAACCAGTCGCCAACCGTGATGCCCTTTCATAACAAGTGTTTGTTTAAAAAAAATATATATATATACAAATTTACACACACACACACACACACACACACACACACACACACACACGCACACGCACACGCACAGACTGCAACTTAAAATATAAATATAGTACCGTGTTTTCATGAAAGTCCTTGCACGGCTGTTAGTTATTTGTTCTGTTGTATGATGTTATTGCTATTTTATGTTCAATGTTCTGCAAAGTGCTTTGTGACAGCTGCAGCTGTTGTGGAAGTGCTATCTATATGAACATGCCTACACACACAGTTAGGGTTATTTGGCTTTCGGGTGAAATTTTGGACAAGCCTACAATGCATTCAAACCTTTACATGTGAATTAAATGTGACCTTCTCTGAGCTTTTGAATGCACATTTCCAATTGTTCGATGTTTCAGTCCTTTTTGCACAAGTTGCCGTTCTCTCACGAGGAACTTAACGGCAAAATTCACGACAGGTGTTTGATCCTGATCGACAAATAAATGTCCTGTTTCAATTCGAGCTGGTGTTTAAACAGTCGCCCTCATCATGCTGTTCTCATTTTGACATCATGAGACCAAGACGACACCGAACAACGGATCAACACTTCCTTACCATTATGATGCTTCAAACTGGACGTTCTCAGATGGAAGTAGTCACTGAGCTTAGAGTGCCACAGAGCGTGTCATCATCAGAATGCAGTGATTTGGCGAGACAGAGATGGTTTGGTAAACTTGCTAGCATGTTCTTTATGCTATAGTTATCTGAATAACTTAATATGCTACGTGAACATACCAGGCACGTTCTCCGTTCGTTGTTTATGCGTCATGTAACATTATCATATCGTACACTTATTCAGCCTGTTGTTCTCCATTTTATTTTTATTTTAAATTGCCTTTCTTATAACATGTCTGTTCTTGGTGTTGGATTTTTATCAAATAAATTTCCCCCCAAAATGAGATTTATACTCCAGTACGACTTGTATGGTTTTTTTCTCCTTTTTGCATTGTGTGGCTGGTGCGATTTATATTCCAGGGCAATTTATAATCTGGAAAATATGGTGTGTGGGTGTGTGTGTATAAGAAAATTATCAGGATGGACTGCAATTTTTCATGTTGCAGATCACTTACATGAAGAATCCTTATACAGTCTAACAAGACTGACTTCAGTCTCACCTACTGCCCTAAATTCCACATTAATGGCACAAGTGTCAACACCGGACAACAACAACATTAACATTCACAAAACAAACAAAAAGTTTTGCTGTTTACTTGCTTACTCTGCCGTTGATAAACACTTAAACCCACTGGTACAAAAAGGAAGGGCTTTGACTCAGATTATCTCAGATCCGAGGATCAAAAATAGACTTGGTTGCTAATCGGCTCACTCAGTCACTCAGCACCAACAACATACTTGACTAAAAATCTCGTAACTATTGTAGAATCAGTTAAAAGTGTTAGAAGTCCGTCATGAGAATATGAAACGTGTGAAGAGAACATGCATGACAGGTCAAGCATTGACTTACTTGAAGCATTTTCATCGCCGCAAGTTTGAAACCTTTCCTCTCAAATCTCGTAATGACCTCCCCGATGATGCCTCTCTGCACGCCGTCAGGCTTGATGGCAATAAAGGTGCGCTCCTTCTGCTCTGCCATGACTCTGGGAGGAGGCGGAGGAAGAAGAAAAATCACCAAAAAATTCAAGTATGTGAATATTATATACTTTGAAATACCAGCCCTAAACATTTTAGCCGCTCTTTGAGCTCCAAGCTTCATAATGCGGGTCTTAATGGTCAATTCAGATTTTTTTTCTCCTTCGTGAACTCCGATTTTGTGTTCACTTTACATATTAAATGTGACCTCAATCAGTTTGCAGTGTGAACGAAAATATGTCCACAAAGTGACCTTAATGTGCATAAAAAAAAAAGACGACCAAGAAATTATAATTCAGCCATTCAGACTGTCAAAAAAATAATATCAAAATAGATACAGGTCACACGGAGCCAAAAATATCAGATGTGAGTTTCCCAGGTCTAATTGACCCGGAACCATTGTTCCTGAGAAACAACCATACCTTTTGGGTTCAAGTAACAGCAGGGACTCGACAGTGCGCCTAATATGTTCGCAAATGCGCCCATTTTTTCCCAACGTGTGCTGGTTAAAATTTCATACGGTCGCACGCCGCGAGTACGTGTTTTAATGCTCCTGTCGATACATACGGCGAAGGCACTCCAGTTCTGTGTCCGCCTGCCAGACGGTTAAAACCTTCCTTTAAATCTATCAATTATTTGAAACCACTTAATCCTCACGAAGGTTACGGGCCGTCTTCGGGCAGTAGGCGGGCAGGGTACACCCTGAACTGGTGGCCAGCCAATCGCAGGGCACTCAGAATCATACCTATGGGCAATGTAAGAGTGATCAGTTGTCTTACTATGCATGTTTTCGGAATGTGGGAGGGAACCGGAGTACCCGCAGAAAACCCACGCAGGCACTGAGAGAACATGCAAACTCCACACATCGAACCCTGCACCTCTGCACTGTGAGGTGATTTGGCTGTTTCGCTCAACAAAAAAAGACAATATTGTATTCATCACCTGCAAAATAGAACACTTACAAATATCCGGCTGACACAGTGCATTATGGGTAAGGGAACTTTCTCGGCTATCAAATGTGGACTTAAAACTAGTGGTGGTAAATGTAGAAAGCGAGGATTTGGACTGTGTCAACCACTCTGAAGTTGATGGGGATTTTTTATTTAATCTATTGGAAACTGCCGTTTGATACTGCATAAACTGACCGACATCTGCTGGGACACGACAGTGAAGATTAAGCTTTTAACCCCCCAACACTTGAGGATAAGAGGTTCACGGATGGACAGATGACTTGCGGTGAGATGCATGCAGTGCAGGGGATGTGCGTGCAACAGGATGACACAGGGTAGGACTTTTGTGGTCATTTGCTTTGCCCACAGTACATGGGGATTTTAATGCTCACGGCAGATACCGTTGTCTAATAATTAATAATAATGCACCGATCATTGTTCCATTTGATATGTTGCATTCCATTGCTGCTGATAAACTTTGCGCTTATTGTACATCGCTAGTTTTGAAATGCGTTTACTACCTACACTGCACTCAAATCTCAAATAGGCTAAATAAATGTGTTGTTCTGCTCATATGACGCGAGTGACGTGATCTCTGGGAGTGTTAACGCTCCGCAAACTAATCACCAACGTGACATGACACATTAATTTTGAGCTGTGAAAACGTTTCTCGATTCAAACAGTCAAAATAAATAAAAATAAAATAAATTTATATATA